AATGAGTAAATATCTTTACATAAAAGGACTTGTAATGAGTACAAATTTCCACTTGATTAGATTCATTCTCACATAGCCAGTCTCTCCCTCTACAAAGCAAGGGTCTGGTCTATTACCATACATTACCTCATTCATCTTTCAACCTTACTTTGGTGGAACTAAGCACACTAAACATTGAATAACCTCATGTGTATATTATGAAGATTGAAACCTCCTTTTTGGGCCAGGATTAATTATTATACTAAGCATAATTGAATTTCCTGGAATTTAATTATTTACAAATTGTGTTAGATGATGCATGAAATCCAATATATTAGTAATACCAGTAAACATTAGTCCAGTGTATTGTAGATAGTATAATGTGTTATCATAACAATTTTCAGTAATGGGACCCTCATCTAGTAGTGTAGTAGTTTGTATCTCTTCCACTGGGTATTTATGTAATATTGTCACTAGGTGTTCCTCCTCCTACTACCCTAGTCCTAGTCCTACTTATGTGTCCAGTCATAGATACTCAATGATTCAATGTATACTAATACACCAGACACACTCTTTGTAGAGGGAGGGACACTCTCTTTCCTTATAAGGATATGCATGTACATGTACTGTATTGCAGGTTTTATTGGTGAGGGATTAAATTTGTCAAGTCCTTTAATTACAACAATACTCCAAATTGAAACTCACAAATTATTGTCAATTACTAGCTGCCACGTGTTAGGAGTTAATGAAGTTACCAAAATTCAATTGGTTGAGAATTTCTTCAAAATTCCTCACTGTCAATAAATACTCTCGTATGTTATACAAGTACATGTAAATGAATGGCTCAGTTGTTTGTGTATTTTTCGATTAAAAGTTGTTTTTATATGTACATGTATTGTTTATGTGTTGTTTATGGTCGGTTATTGTCACTGGTTACATATTCTGTGGATTTTGTGTTTGAATGAGATTATGTGATAATGAGACATAGGAGTGATTAATATTACTATTATAATAACTGTTAATAATACACTCATTCACTTGTTAATACTGTAGGATCTACAGTTGTATTATGCAGCAATGAATGGAGATATAGAAAGAATGAGGTCTGCCCTCTCAAATGGGACAGATATCAACTGGAGTAATCCTGATAGGGTAAGTGTATGATGTAGTGACTAGTGTATTAGTATGACTTGTATAATGTAAAAGTACCTGCAGTTTAGTTATAAATCAGTTTATTATATTAATATTGTGTAATTACCATATCTCCTCATGGAAGCACCTAGGCATTTATTCTTATAGAGACCCGTTTGCTGGGTGTTTAAATGAAGTAGGTGTTTATATGAGGATAGACATTTAAATTCATTGCCGAGGAGTCTTCTTCTATGAGCTTCCTTCTCAG